CTCCAAAATGCTGGAGCTCCACAGCCCTGCTGATGCTGCCCATCATTACAGTGAAGTGCAGGGAGGGCATATGCCTCTGCCGAGTTAAAAAATAAAATTACAGTTTCAGTTTACACTCATCTACAGACCAGGACTCTACAGTCTACACTCATCTAAAGACCTGGGGTGTCATGTACAAAGACTTGTGTGGATTTCTTACTGAAACGTGGCACATGGTCAAATTCAGAAAATTGTGTACGCACAAAAAAATAGAGATGTATCAATCTGTGCATATGCAGGAATCCACTCACTTTCAATGCAAAGGTTCTGACTTATAAAACCTAAACTTGGCATGAAAATGTGCAGTCCCTCACACTAGCTCTGACTCATGCGTATGTTCATTTTGGAGACAGGAAGCTGGTGACGCAGATGGTGAAGTAAGGAATTACAGCCACACTGCATCATGATCACTCTCAGATATTTAATTTAACTCCAAATCAAACTTAGATTTTAAATCAACTTTATCATAAGCATCTCCATCCATCTCCCTCCTGACCCACAGACCCCTCAAATGTCAACATGGAGAAAAGGCATGAGGTTCACTTTTTAAAATCTGTATTACTAACGCACAGTGGGGGTGTGGCAAAGCAGGAGTAAAAGAGGACGGAGAGAAGAGTGGTAATATTATTTCTAGTGGCAAAATGGTTGGAGCAATGGCTGGGTTATACACCTCAAAAACGTGAAATACAGTATGTTGCCTTCAGGCTTATCCATCCCTTTAAAAAGATATTTGAAATCTAAATGAGATTTGCCTAGTAAAAATACGGTAAATAAAGTAGTCGTCAGCACCCGCCCTCCTCCAAACGCATGATGGAGTGGGTGCCTGAGCCGGCCAATCGCTTTTGTTGACATTGATCAGCTGACTCATTTAAATACAGCTCAACATTCATAAGGTACTTTGCATTGACTGGTTAAATGTGGGCGTGTAGAGGGCAGAACCTGAAGCAGGACCATGTGCACAAACTCTGAGGCACAGCTGTGATCTATTAAGGAAAATTGCTTGAAGCTGTGTGCATGCATGGTTTTATATATGGTAAATGGATTGTACTTATATAGCGCCTTTCTATTCAACCAGGATACTCAAAGCACTTTACAATACAATCTGTATCCTCCATCGCCCATCTACACACACATTCATTCAGCCCTCTACAATATCTACTAGGGCTGTAGCGATACACTAATCTCACAACACGATATTTGATATTCTGCTCACGATACAATATATATCACGATATTCAGCCAACGATACGATTCAATACAATTCTATTTTCTGAAGGATTTTAGAGGGACAGAGTGGTTTTGGTAACATTTTGTGACTGTTCCATAGGCTTGGATTGAATTAACTGAACTGAAAACTGATTAAAAGCACCAAACAATACCTGGTTCTGACTGGACAAAATTAATCAAAGATGCGGTGAGAAAATTAGTTTTCTTTAACTGAAACAGTGCAAACTGTAGCTTACAAGCCTAAATAATATTTGGTTCCATCCAGGGAACTTTGGCCAATAAAGAGCAAATTTTCCCAAATCTTCAGATGAGAGTTTATGATGAAAGTAATTAACACAGTTAAAGACTTGGAGGTAAATTATTCTGTTCTCATGTTACAGAGGAGGAACAGATTATTTTAAACAACTGAAATATGTGGTTCTTGAATCAGCAATAAAAAAATAATAAATATACACAATGTGTTGGAAGAAGGTGTTTGGTGGCTGACTGATAAATAGTGAGGTTAAAGAGAACATGAGAAAAGTTGGAAAAGGACTAACAAGGACTCATTCTGTGATTTTAAAAAAAGCCAGGTTTTTATTTATTTATTCATTTTAGAGGTTTTTTTTACAGCAGCTGATGATTAAACTGAAAGTTACCTTGATAAGATTATGTGAATCCTTTTACTGAGAAATTGATCAGAAGTGCTGTGAAAATGGTCGGATCCGCCTCTCTGGCTGCAGTGTGCCTCCAGACACAGGAGAAACAGATTTTCACAGGGGAACTGAACTTTGCACAACACCCACTAAGCTCGAGGCGCTAGACGCATGCTCGTCTAGTCTTCTGTAACGTGACGGCTGACTACAGTCGGAAAAAGAGCGCCACGGACGAGACACTTCAATTTGGCTTAAAATACAGACATTATGACTAATAAGGGACTGTTGGTAACCTTACCTCAGCTTAGAAGGCAGAGGGTGTCGATCTTTTCTGCTCAGATTCAGCTATCGGGGCATGAAGCTAATGTTTACTCACCATGCTAATGCTACCGTTACTCTCTCGCTGTGTCCAAAACGACAGGCCGGGTCCTCCGGAGGACCCAGACTCCCCGGTCGCGGTGGGCCGGGTCCTTGGTAGACCGGGAAGACCGGAAAAAAAGAGGCTGTGGATTTGGACGGTCTAGCCTCCCCTCCTTACCCCGGCGTACGTCTTGTCACCTAGCAACTGTGACGACGCTAAACAAGCAAACTTAAATCAAAACTAGAAAATTATCAATATATTAGCATTATTAATATCACAAAACTATAAAATTAACTTAAAGGTAACATTTGAAGAACTAATTGACCCGCTGTAGGTTCATGTTTATTTCGCATTTTTTATGACGAAAAAACAATATTTAAAAACATGTCCATACAAATGATAAAAGTATTAGAATTACAACCGCTAATTTTCTTTAATTTTTAAATCACCATACTTTTATTTAAAATGTATTCTTTTCTCTCGCTTCGTCCGCCATTACTAGCATAAAAAATCTCCAGTCGGGCCGCAATGCATTATGGGATATGCTGGGCCGGGAAGGATCCATCAGACCAGTCCTTCGATTCGGGCCAAAGGAAGGACGTATTTGTCAGACGCATCGGAGGAGTCTTCCGTTTTGGACGTCCTTCGTCGCGGCGCTGTGACGTATGCGGCCGATGAATTCGACCTTCGGAGGACCCGTCCTGCCGTTTTGGACACAGCCTCTGGCTCCTTAGGAGTAGAGGAGCCAAATGTCTGGCTCACTGCTGCCAACTAGCAGTCAGAGGCTGAACTACAACATAAAAATGAACTGTTGGCAGGACAGTTGACAATTAATTAAAAATTGATACAAGGCTTTAGAAAATAGATATATATCAGTGTATCGATATTTTCCTACACAGATTTTAGTGGTTGTAGAATTTATTTTTTGTTTCTGGCAAATGTGTCTCATAAATAGTCTTCAACAATGGACTCAGCGTGAGCGAAAGATGTGGCAGAACCGTGGAGTATATTGTTTTCCAACACAAGGTGGCTGAGACGGCTTTGTATGAGGCAGCGTTCACAAGATGGCATCCAACTTCACAGCAGTGTCGTCCACCTTATAGATGTCAAGCAATGTATTTACAAGATATGAGTAACTTTATTATTGTTATTATGGTGCGTTCACACCGAACGCGATTTCAGCTTCAAAATCGCAGCCAACGCTGAAGTCTGAAGCTTGTGCACTTTGAGGTCAGACGCAGGACAGTTGTTGAAGCGCCGCACGGCGACAGCCGCCCCGCCCCTCCCTCCTCTGTCGGGCTCCGTTTAATGTCGGACGAGGAAGTGGCTTTGCTTTAATTTACAGACAGCCAGAACGTGTCACGTTCATCAGATAATTAATTCATAATTAATTCACCAGATAATTCAGAGAAGAGGCTCACAGCTGCTTTCAGGACTACTTTTTTCAGTCTGATGAGTCGCTGTCACGCATTGCTGCGGATCAGGACACGACTGCAGCACTCATTTTAGCTAAAGAGCTCCGCTCCGTCTGTTTCAGGTTAGTGGACCTCATTCAGTAAACTGTCCCGTCGGGAAATATGTCGCTACGTCACACAGTGGAGTCTCTCTGATTGGTTGACGCTGCGCGTCGAGCTGCAAAAGTTCAGATTTTCTAACTTCAGCGATTTGGACGATTCGGACGATCTGAGCGTTCGACGCTCAGATCGTCCGAATCGTCCAAATCGCGCTGCTCTAATCGCGCTTGAGGCGCCGCAGAACTTCCCGACGTTGCTTGAAGCGCCTCCACCATAGACTTTGCATGTAAACCTGCTGCTCCTGACGCTGAAATCGCGTTTGGTGTGAACGCACCATTATTCAAAATGCCCTGCTTTTTGGTCCGATTCCTTCTTTTGGAGCAGTCTCTGGTACGCTTGGAGTTCACACATGCAATCAAACTGCACCAGAGTTCACTCCAACCGAACCAAGACCTAGGTTTTCAAGCGGACCGCATTAGATTTCAGTTACACACTCACACTTCCCAAAAACAAACCGGACTTTCTAGGTAAACAAACTAGAGATCATTGAAAGTGGACTAAACAGGGCTAGGGTGAATACACCTGAATATAAACTTCTGGCTTCAACTGAAGACAGGTCTTCAGTCCATCAGGGACACTGGACACGTCTTCAGTTTATCAAAAGGACACAGACAAAGAGACAAACTATCCACACTCACTGTCACACCTAGAGTCACACAGAAGAGCTTCAAAAGGTTTTCAAACTGAGCACTCTAAACTCAGACTTCAAAAATCTTATTATTATTAATAATATTTATCATATCAGTCATATAGTATTATTACTGATTGTGAGGAGTCTTTAATATTGAGATGTAATAAGACAGTCAAATATTCATAAACACATAAATTTATTAATAATACAATAATTAAAGGCGAGTCGTGTAAATGTATGTTTGTATCAAACAAGTAGCCCTTCGTGTTAGTCTGTACCCCTGAAGTAGCTCTCAGTCTCAAAAACATGGTGACCCCTGTTCATGTTTAAGTATTGTTAACAACAAGAACACAACTTTTTTTTTTTGACAAAAACACAGTGGGCCGTTGGCGGGCTACCAAACCGACCCTACCACCGGGCTAAGCCATTTTTCTGGGGGAAACCCTGACATGTGCAATGTAAATTGTTCTTGTGTGATGTGAATAGGTACTGTGGATATTTGCTGTGGGATGTAAATTGTTGCTGTGACTTACCACTCTCTTTTGCCTTGCATTCCTCTTCTGCCACACAAGCTTGCAGTTGCACCTGATTGGCTCTTAGACAGCGATTCATCTCCTGCTCCTCCTTCAGCTCCTGGCTCAGCTTCAATACTCGACTGTTCAGCTGTGTGCACCTGAACACACAAAGACAGTGCTGCTGTCAGATGTCTTCTATAATCACAGAACTCAATTCTATAAACTAAGGTTTTTACTGAATTAGAAATGCACCCATACCATCAGCATGATGCCTGTGCTCATAAAAAGTGTTCCAATACCAGTCGTACTACTACAGTTGAGCAGTCACTTGATAGAAGAGCGATGTTAATTGTTTGTAGGTAGTTTTTATAGCAATGTTTGTACATAAAAAGCTACTTTTTTAGCAGTGCTTCTTTAGCAATGTTACAGGGAAGGAATTATGCTTTGATTGTGATAAAAATTATCATGGTAATTGTTAAGAGGCCCAAGGGCCTAGAAGTGGAAACTTGATGAAGCACACCCCTACTTCTGTATAGATCACAATCATGTGACACAAACATCAGACAATGAGATGAAAAACAGCAAGCTTTCAGCTGATCATTTCTATGAACCAAAAACTGATCAGTAAATTCATCTGATGAGAATGCTTATGAGGCCACGAAACTGGACCCAACCAGACCCTGATGTTTCCTTTTAGGGATCAACCTGAGTTCGTGAGGCCTGTTATCCCTTCTACAGCTGCTTGGAGCAGGCCTGAGAGAAGAAGGCTGCACATCATTGGAACAGGAAGTCTCAGCCAAATAAGGATGGCAGTGATGAACCAGTCAGCTGACCAGGAAGTGAGAGGAGGCTCATGAAGAAAATAAGCATCACCATGTCTTAGTTTGCTTGTAAAACGATTGTGTTTTTTTCATTTTTTATGTCGAAGACATGTTTATAACATATCTTTTTCATAATCATGAATGACGATTAAAAGTTAAAGTTTTAGTTAAACATAGACACGTTTGTTATCTACAGAAACATCAGAATCTTGGCTAAAAACTGGTAAAATCCATTTCTATGAACATACAAGACAATTAAAACTACAAGCAGTTGAAGATAAAACTATGAAAGTGAAAACAAAATTGGTTTAAAAATTTGGCAAGTCAGAGATGTCAAAATAATATTTGTGTCAAATATTAGGCCTAATGTGTTCTTGTTTTTGATAGTTTTATGATCACTACTTTTATAAGGTTCTATATGTTGTAATCGTGATTAAATACAGCAAGATAAACTTTTTCAAAGGTAACAGATCTTTGTAATACTTGGTTTATTTACATGATGACTTTAATTGCTCGTTGTTCGGCCCCTCAGCTGTTGGCCTGCAGTAACTGTGGCCCCCGGAGCAATTTAGTTGAATAGCCTTGGTTTACATCAGTGCATTTAACTTAGTTACATTACTTTATGTATTTTTTTATTTTTTGCTTCAGATTAGAGCGTTGAGGAGATCGTTTGCTTTGATTAAATTTACTTAGCAACGATTTATATTTCACTTGTGATTTATTTTTTTAAATATCAATTTTTCTGTAACCTTTTTTAAGTTCTACACTCTTATTTTTGTTCACTTAAAAATAAAATTGCCAAAGAGCACATAAGGGATCTGCGTCTCTTGGGTTTTTCATGATTTTGTGGTGGGTTACTTTTAAAGTTCAATTTCTGGGTTCTGTAACTGCAGCACGAGGGTAGGCCCTTAACTGCACCTCATTGGGGAGTGGTCGGGGTCACACAAGTGCTGGGGTCTTCAAGTGATGAGGACACAGACATGCTGTTGGGGTCCTCTGATGGAGGAAAGGTCAATGGGGGAAATGTACTCTCGGCAGATATAGAGGGTCTCTCCCTTCAAGACCCCAAAGGAAAAAGAAAAAAACCTTCTTCTTGTTTGGCAACTGGGAATGGGGAGTCTGCGAATGAGCCTTCTAAAGGGTCGGGAGCTGACCACCCTAAAACCAGCACATCCAAAAACAATGCTGGAGATGGAGCCGGGCCTTCTTCTCACAAGAGGAAGAGGGCTATAGCCTCGACTCCAGGCAGTTCCAAAGTCCCAAAGAAACACCGCAACAGGCCTTCAATGGCACTGATTGCTGGTGGGGACCCACACAGAACTCTGAAAATAAGAAAGTGAACATGTGCGGGCCAGCCTGGTGGGGCTCACTGACCGGGTGCCGAATGATCAATCCGGTGCCACGGTTCATTGAGTCAGGTCTTGTACAGGGCAACTTTCGTGTGACCTGTGCGGAAGAACCAGCCATGGAATGGCTCGTATGTGCTGTCTCCCAGATCCCTAGTTGGGAGGRCCATGGATTCTCTGCCAAGAGAGTCCGGGACCTCCCAGTTCTCAAGAGAGTTGGTGTATTTGTGCCTGGGGAACCTGCAAAACCCCAGCAGCCACAGATGAACCCATCGTTCTTATAAAGCACAATGTGAAAGTCCAACGTACTTTTTCTCCATGCTCTGCTTCTCTTTGGTTATTTCTCCTAATCTCTGCTCCAGGTTGTCGCAGCGCTCTAAAGTCTCTTTAAACTTTGTCTTCATGTTGTTGATCTGAGAACATAAAAACAGTGTTGAACAATTTAAACCAAAGAGACAAAACCCCAAAAAGGTGTCCTTCAGTACCTCCTCAGCGGTCTCTTTCTCCAGATGGACGATCTTATTCTCCCAGTAGATCCTCTGAGACTCCAGCTGACTTGTCAGGAGATATGAGTACTACAGGCAGAGACAGCTCAGAATAGGATGTGCATTTTAGGCAAAAACCCTTAAATTCTTCTGGACTTTACTCACTCTACACTTGCAGCTGATGCTGATTTTATATTATTATATCTTAGTATTAGTGCTGGGCGGTATACCGTTTTGTACTGAATAACGGTTTTTATTTTTGTTATGATATGAATTTTTTGAATACTGGACATTCTGGTTTAAATAGCGGAACGTTTCGTCGCGGCCGCCAGTGAACTGTTGTTTCCCGGGGGACATTTTTCCTTGCTGCACCGCTAAATTTTACAGTCACATTAATTCTTCAAATTCAAACATTTAAACTAGACTTTAAATATTTGAAAATCATTGTCCATCCCTAGCACAGATAGGAAATAAGGAAGTAAAAAGCTTACCTCTAGTTGAAGTGCATCTATTTTTTCCTCTTGGCAGGTGTCCCCTTCACATTCAAACTGCACCATCTTCCCATCAGTCTTACTGGCTACTAGCCGATGCACATAGTTATCTGTAGTACAGGGATTACACAGCACTGACTAAACAAAAGGATATGAAACAGCTAAACGTTCTGGCATAACATAATCCATCCATCAAATTTTCTTTAACTGCTTGTTCTTTTTAATAAAAATATTTCATGACCGATATTATTAAAACTCTCAAAAATGTATTTTTAATGAATGTATACAACTGGTTAACATTTGGAGACAACCAAAATTACGATAAACTACAAGTAGACCAATTTTTCTGTTTGTCTCTTTCTTGTCCTCCCAGCCAGAAAAGGCTGATGGCAAACTCATCTTGCAGGGTTTCGGCAAAAATCTGAAAATCCAATGTAAGGCTTTTTAATGTCACTTTAAAAGTTTCATGAAATCAAAAGTGAATCTATGAATTTCACGTTTGTTTTAAATTCAATTTTAATGCCCCGTTTAATGCCTTTGACAGTGAATGCATAAACATTTGCACAATGTTTTGTTTTTGTGAGAGATATAGTTGATCAATCCTGTGGTCGCTCACTGATGTCATCATCTCATTATCATTTTCTGAAAGCGAAACCGCAGGTTGCTTTTTTACATGTAGGCCTGCCCGGGCCGACCCACCCTGCTCTGCTCTTATTGGCTAAAACTGTGCCTCTGGTTCTCTCTATTGGTTGAAAGCAGCATTAATTAAATCCCTACATCTATGCTGGACTGAAGATCACAACACAATTTTTTAATGTCATGTATGTGATTGAACTGGATTGAATTGACTGTAATTAGATTTGAATGTGACTTAATAGACTGAATTTTGTTGTTAAAGGTTTGTTTATACTTCATGCAAGACGTGCGGCTGCGGCCCAGCGATGACGTAATTGTGTTTGTGTCACCGACTGCATTGAGTATTTATACTTGGAAAAGCCTCCCTCTGCCCTCCCACCACATTCGTCAAGCAACACAAGTGTGATTTTATATTTAAGCTTCTGTAATAAATCACTTCATTTTCTCTAAAAAGTAGGCTAGCGAGGGTGTTTTATTAACTCGATTTGTGAGTCTGTTGTGTCGAATGTTGTCATGTTTCTTGTTGTCCCCCAGTATTTAATGTACGTGCCAAGCAAAAAGAAAAAAGGGGGGCAAAAAAGAAATAACGAGGAACAGGATTGGTCCCGCCAGGATCCCCGCTCCGGACCTGCATTCTCCGTTTGGTCTTTGCAAACCGGTCATGGAGAGTCCACCACTGTTTGCGGCAGACAGCCTCCTCTGTTTGCAACGTTTCTGTAATCTCCCTCCATTAATTTTTTGCCATTTGGCATTACTTGTACTCCGCAGTAGAGAAGTCATACAGACGTTTTGTACCTCCGGACCGCCTCGGCGAGTTTCTCTTCGAAACTATCCATGTTTACAAACAAAAAACCAGCCTCTGGAAGAGAGTACCGGGTAGCAGAGTGATACCAAACAAAAATGCCCACAAACTTTGAACCAATCACACGCGCCGAGCCGCAACCTCCGCGTCTCGGAGTGCTGACTGGGGGTACTGTATCGGACAGCTGTCACCGGGGATCGCAGCAGGAGTGCAGACGAAAGTTGCGCAACTTTTTTTCACTCAGCGGAGGGTAAAAGACGTGAGACGAGAAGTATAAACCAGCCTTTAGTGCTCTGACACATTTGTGGTTGTAAATTGACACTAGTTAAAAAAAAATTTTAATTAATTGCATTGAATTTAAAGAGGACCTATTATGCAAAATTCACTTTTTTACATGTTTTTATTAGTGCTGGGCATAGATTAAACATTTTAATCATGATTAACCTCTAGATATTTTTGCGATTAATCGAAATTAATCTCTTTTTTTTTTTAGAAATGATCACTTTACAATGGCTGAACGTATATGTTTGTATGTTGCAATATATGTGTGACACACTATGTACAGTTTTTCCTTTTCTTTCTCATTTTAACTTCTTATTGCTTACTGTATTTTTTTCCTGACAACTGGGGCTTCGTCTATCTTTCATTCCTCATAATACTCATTTGAAATTACAAAAAAATCTTGAATTCCTGATTTAATTTTATTATGCTGCATAAAATTTAACTGACTCAAATATGTTTAGAGCATATTAGGTACTGTTTTATATTTAAAAAAAAGGGGCAATGCATTTTCAAAAACTTTAAATAAGGCAAATCAAGCCGGTCTTACTTTTTCCTTTTTCTGCTGGTCAGCAGAACCTCCCTCTGTTTGTTTACCCTGGTTTTAAACTGAAGTGATATTTCAAACTGCTCCCAGTGGTGAGATAGTTTAGCATTGCAGCACTTACAAATAACTTTACTTCCTCCCAGCCCACCGTTGGGAAAGGTTTTAAAGTTAATAATCCAGCAGCTTCAGGCATGTTTCTGCCCCGGCTGCCTGAAGCTTGGGTTCATGTGAGCAGCTGCACACTCAACAACAAAGGCTCTCATTGGATGAGACACGCGATGAAGTCTGTCTAAAGCCTCCCTGGTGTTCTGGGCACGTCCCACTGGGAGGAGGCCCAGAGGAAGACCCAGGACACGCTGGAGGGACTATGTTTCTCAGCTGGCCTGGGAACACCTTGGGATTCCCCTGGACGAGCTGACCCAAGTGGCTGGGGAGAGGGAAATCTGGGTCTCTCTGCTTAGGCTGCTGCCCCCGAGACCTGACCCTGGATAAGCGGAAGAAAACGGACGGACGAACGTCATAATTTCTTATTACAACTAGGCAAAAAACTCTGGCGTGAAAGGCAGAGGGGATATGCATTCCATCACTGCCCATATTTTATTAGTCACCATCATAACTAAACACCAAGTGTTAATCAATACAAACACATACACACAAGCTCAAAGTGTTTACCTCCTGCATAGTCCCACACACGGTGATTTGTGAGCTGCATAGCATAAGTATGTTGGGTTTCCTCAAAGTGCTTGTAGGCATGCCGACTCACATAACGACCACAACCTATGTGCCCACAGATCAAACAAATCCACAGGTTCTGCAACAAAAAAAAGAGATGAACTCAAGAGAAAGAAGACAAAGTTATGATGACCTTCTTGTATTGACATACCTCCTGCACTCCACACTCAAAGCATTTGTTTTCTTCAACTGGTTCTGGTGTTTGACAGTACCTGCACACAGGACACCTAAAAAGTACACAAAGCACATTCAACTGAACTCACATGTGAGTGCTGATCTTGTGTGAAATACAATCATACATATGAAAACCAGAACAAAAACTATACAGAGTAACATGCAGGATACAAAGAATCAGGTGAAACCATATTTACATTACCACAGTGAAAGTTATTTTATGCACATTTAAAGTACAGTTGAATAACTGCAGAAATCATCATCAAATCCAGTCATTTACAATGTCCAGCTGGTCAAAAGAACACATTTTCAATCAACAGGTCAAGAAAAAGCTGATCCTTATAAATGAGGTATAAAACTAGCTCTATTCACAAATGAGTTTTGAAATTCAGGAAATTTATAAACCTTTACAACAGTGGTCACCTTATATCCTTCTAGCGGTCACTTCTAGCCTGCAGTGGGTAGGGGTTGAGGCCCCAGCCACCATCTATGAAGGTTTAAAACAACGTATAAAGGAGGGAAAGACTTCCAGGCAGCCACATGTTGCCCTTTGTATCATGGTCTGTGTCTTTTGATTATCTTCTTTTATTTGTTCTTTGTGTTTTAGTTTTCCTGTTTGTTTCCTGGGTGTTTTCTAGTTCAATTTCTCTTTTCCTCCCTCAGGCTGTATTCTGTCTATCAGTCATTCTCACCTGCTGTCACTCCCCAATCTGCTTTCCATATTATCATCAGCCCTTGCTCTTTATATTCAGTTGGTCTCCTGAGTAGGGATGGGTATCGTTACGTTTTATCGATAACACTACTCTTTTTTTTCTGTGCCACTTCAGTAGAAAACAAAACTGAATGTTAGTTTCTTAATTTCTGCATCATCAGTGGCTTTTAAAAAAAATACTATAGTAAGAAAGAAAAAGAAAAAGTAGAAGAGAAATATAAGAACAGTAAAGAGAGAAACCGATAGAAATTATACAACATGTGAAATGAACACCAATAACATACAGGACACCACATCCGACATTTGACCATCACACATAATCAAGCACATACGCATACAAACATTCACACACACACATACATATATCCAGTGATTGTCAAAAACCCCAGGATCCAAATGTCTTTTTTTGTGCGGTTGTGAACATGCATACAAGATTTCTCCAGTGGAAAATTAAATAGTGACTGTGGAGGACCCCAGACCCGGCCCCCAAGACCTAAGGCGAACATAAGGGGGACCAGAGACACAGACCCCAAGAGAGACCCCAAGCACCGAGCCCCCAAGGCCACCTGTGCAGCGAGAAGCACCCACCCACCCCCCAGAGAGGAACACAGGAGAGAACCAGGATAGCCCCACCAGCAACCACACGCAGAACCCACTGGGCCAACAGCTACGACCACAGGCCCCACCGGCCCCCGCCACACCGGAGCAGGACCAGGCATGGACACAGAGACCCGGATCCATAGAGTGCACCCCCACCCCCAACCCACCCAGGCCAAGGCCCGACAGGGCCAGAGGACCCAAGCCCCACCAGGCCGAGCCCAAGCACCCAGCCCCAGACATTGAGAGCCACCAGCACACCGGCGGGCCGAGGCACACCCCACCAGACGGCAGTGCGGCCGGGGGCAGAGCCCATCAGGTGAACCAGATGAGGGGGCAGCCCGAGTCCCAACCTGACAAATACTCAATCACACACAAACACAATCACACAGTCCCACCCTCATTCTCACACCCACTCATTCAAAGACAGACAAAAAGAACGCCACACCCCACTCACACTCCTTAAGAAGTGAGTAAGGGGGAGTAAGAGGGCGTTGCCACCACGCAAATATTGGTCTGTGTGGGTGGGCTTACGATATACGCCAGTTTCCAACTGTCCTCCATCTGAAACCGAGACATCGCAATCCAGGAACGCCAACCTGCCATTTTTTACATCCTCTCGTGTGAACTTAATATATTCATCCACAGAGTTGATGTGATCAGTGAAATGTTGGACTTCCTGGGCTTTAATTTTAACCCAGGTGTCGTCAACATATCTGAACCAATGGCTCGGTGGCACCCCTGAAAAGGACATCAAGGCTCTCTTTTCCACTTCCTCCATGTACAGGTTTGCAACAATAGTAGAAACTGGGGATCCCATGGCACACCCATGTTTCTGCCTATAATATTGCCCCCCGTACGTGAAGTAGGTTGAYTCCAGGCACAGTTTGAGGAGTTGGCACACTTGTTCTGTGGAAAGTGTGGTTCTGCTGCTGAGAGTGGTGTCTGATTTCAATCTTGCACAGACCACATCCACTGCCTTATCAACAGGAACGCACGTAAAGAGCGATGTAACATCAAAAGAGACCATAGTTTCATCCGCCTCCATGATGACATCCCTCACCTTGTCCACAAAGTCCAAAGTCCATAGTGTTCTGTATGTGATGTTCACTCCACCCCATGGTAACAATAAGTGTTAATTAGGCGTCAACGATAGCCATGTGATGTGAGTATCAGTCACATCACAAAAGCCTGAATTTTGCCTGAAACTCTCAGACTGAAGAAGTCTCTTGGAGAAGAGACGAAACGTTTCATTAGAGAAGAACCCGTCCAGAAGACCTATACAATTTTTTTTTCTTTTTGATGTACCACTGGGTTTCCATTGAATTGTACGTTGGTAAAGATAAAATGTCATTCTGCATTTTAATAATATATTTTACATGTGGTGACTACAGGGGTTGGACAATGAAACTGAAACACCTGGTTTTAGACCATAACATCCCTTTCAGACAGCTTCCTCTTGCGTCCACAGTTCATCCTGTTGGATGTGGTTGGTCCTTCTTGGTGGTACGCTGACATTATCCTGGATACTGTGGCTCTTGATACATCACAAAGACTTGCTATCTTGGTCACAGATGCACCAGCAAGATGTGCACCAACAATTTGTCCTCTTTTGAACTCTGGTATGGGACCCATAATGTTGTGCAATATTTTGAGCCAAACTGGGCTCTTACCCTGCTAATTGAACCTTCACACTCTGCTCTTACTGGTGCAATGTGCAATTAATGAAAATTGGCCACCAGTCTGGTCCAATTTAGCCGTGAAACCTCCCACACTAACATGACAGGTGTTTCAGTTTCATTGTCTAACCCCTGTATATGTGTGCAATATTTGTCAAACACAAACATCTCTGTCAGCATCTAATAATTGTTTACTTTATTAAAAAAAAATCACTTTCAAAACAAAATGTTTTATCATTTCTCAGTCTTCAAAAATATCTTTCTAATGCTAATTAAAAATGAATGCTATAAATAAATACCTAAAGTTGAAACCCATTTAAAAGATTATTAAAAATTTCCCCTTGATACTAATCCTTTAAAGGCTTGGAAGCTGTGAGGGTTTGCAAACATTGTCATTTTTATTAGTGTATTTCTCGCTTAAAAAGGCCAGCTCTTGTAGAATCTGCTTAGAAAACTGAGCTGAATAATAATGATAGGCCTGATTTACAGAATTCATGTAGGATATGGGCAGAACTCACGAGGCATCTTCCCACCGCTGGAGACACTGACTGTGAAAGCTGTGGTTGCACAGAGTGGTGAGAATGCCATTGACAGATTCATCCATTCTTTCTAGGCACACGGTGCACTTTGGAAGCTCCGTCAGCTCCATCACCGGCAGGCTGGCTCCCTGACGACAAGGAGGAAGGAGAAAGATGGAGGAAATTAAAGAGAAACAACATATAAATTTTGGAACTAATAATTATATTACTATTAGGGCTGTGAAATTTAACTCTGATTAATTTTAGTGTTGCACGGGCATAGATTAAAAATTTTAATCGCGATTAAATTTACAATCACTTTACTGTGGCAGAATATGTAGGTTTGTATATTGCAATGCACTTGTTTGTAATGAGAAGTGGTTCTCAAACTGTTTACCTGGATAAATAAAGGTTAAATAAATAATATAAAAAAAACTCCATGTGTAACACATTATGTGCAGTTTTTTTATTTTTGTCTTCTTATGGCTTATTTTATTTTATTTATTTATGTTTTGCTGACAACTGTGACCTTAGTATCTATCTTTCATTCTTCATGTCCTGGAAGACTGATGATGTCCTCGTGTACTCATTTGGAATGAAAATCCTTGAATTCTTGATTTAACCTTATTATTCTGCACAAAATTTACCTGACTCAAATATGTTTGGAGCATTTTTCATGTCCTGTTTTACATTCAAAAAATCATGTCTAAGCATCAATTTTGTTTTCTAAATAAAAACATAAAAAACTAATTAATAACTCAAGTAATTTATTTTATCAATGCCATACCATACCAACTTTATTTGTAAAGCACAGTGTGTAGGATTTGTTGTTTTCAGCGACATCTAG